ATAAAATCGACATCACAGCACTCAAGACACCCCTATTAGCACTCCGTCCTCATCTTCAGCAGCAAGCGAAGAGTTCCAATTCCGATGGCACCAGTAACTGTGTGATTATATAACCGTCTCACCCGTCCCCTGAGTGTTGAGCACCGGTCAGATCCCTTGTAACTTCGCGCAGCGCCATTCTCTCCAGCCGGTAATGATCTATTTGTGTGTGATAGAATGGACTAGAGGAATATCCTACACGTCCTATGTGACACACAGTGTTACAGTATGATGATGATAAAGGTGGTGATGCTGCTGCTGCTGATGATGGTGATGAGGATGATATTGATGATAATGATTATGGTGAGATGATAATGATAATAATTATGATGATGGTGATGATGATAATGATTATGGTGTGATGATAATGATAATAATTATGATGATGGTGATGATAATAATAATGATGATGATTTTGATGATAGTAATGATAGTGATGACGATAATGATAATGATGATGGGGATGATGACGATGATAGGGTTAAAGTAAGGAAAAGACAAACATTAAATCCGATGTAGATCTAGAACAAGATGGAAAGATAATACCTGAGAAACTCTTCAATACCATCTCGTATCTATAGCAGGTCGGCTCTGTGGCTAAGTCGATGCGAACGCTTCGTAATGCCGGGATGCCGGGTTCGATCCCAGCTGCGGGCCATGCGCCTTGCGTTGGTTTCGACAGTGGTATCAAGAAAGCCGACAATCCAGTAGCAATGACAAACTACAGGACGTAAATTTGCCTAGAAAAACCACACAACAGCCTGGAGCTGTTTGGGTTTGTTCTGCGACGTCCTGTAAAGGATACGCAACTAACCTTTATCTATAGCAGCGGCTGCCTAAAATGGCTACCAGGATATATCCTGGGAAATAAAGATGACCGGCGTAATGTTGACCAACCACGCTCCCACCCTTCTGATTTCCTATTGGTCTATACAAACGACTCTATCATTATATAACCGCGCTCCAACCCTTTCGATTTCTTTTTGGACTATACAAACACGTCTATCATTATATACCCGATGCCTCACTAGCGTAAAAAGGTCCATTTATAGGTCGTTCCATGAGTCTCTCCAATTTTTTTAAAAAACTTTCTTAAATGTTCGTGTATTTTAGATAAAGCATTACGGTATGTTGTGTTTGAAAATTGTTGCTATGTTTTGTAGTTCGACAAATGCTTGGTTAATATAAATCTATTTACACTATAATGCAATCTCATTAGTTTGTGTTGAATGCTGTCTATATTTCACAGTTGTAGATTTAAGGCTTTACGATAGACATGGCAAACGAAGACACCATTTTTAATGCTGCATAGTTGATAACGTTCTTAGTACATTTGTTTCCATAGCGAGGCGAACACGACATTTGGAGATAACAGGTTCGATTCTCGGCACAGTAACTATAGCTTTAGATTTCTATATTGTCTAGTGTGTCCTTCTATCTTTCTACTTCTTTCTGTGAGTGTCGATCAATATATTGTTTGTTTATTTATATATATAGCCTTACAATGTGTGGGCGCTGCCTGGCCCCGCAGCCAGTAGGGTTAGGATCGGCTAGCCTCTCTCTCTCTCTCTCTCTCTCTCTGTCACTTTCTCTTTCTCTCTCTCTCTCTCTCTGTCCCTTTCTCTCTCTCTCTCTCTCTCTCTCTCTCTCTCTCTCTCTCTCTGTCCCTTTCTCTCTCTCTCTCTCTCTGTCTCTCTCTCTCTCTCTCTCTCTCTCTCTCTCTGTCCCTTTCTCTCTCTCTCTCTCTCTCTCTCTCTCCCTTTCTCTCTCTCTCTCTCTCTCTGTCCCTTTCTCTCTCTCTCTCTGTCCCTTTCTCTCTCTCTCTCTGTCCCTTTCTCTCTCTCTCTCTGTCCCTTTCTCTCTCTCTCTGTCCCTTTCTCTCTCTCTCTCTCTCTGTCCCTTTCTCTCTCTCTCTCTCTCTCTCTCTGTCCCTTTCTCTCTCTCTCTCTCCCTCTCTATCCCTTTCTCTCTCTCTCTCTCTCTCTCTCTCTCTGTCCCTTTCTCTCTCTCTCTCTCTCTCTCTCTCTCTGTCCCTTTCTCTCTCTCTCTCTCTCTCTCTGTCCCTTTCTCTCTCTCTCTGTCCCTTTCTCTCTCTCTCTCTCTCTCTCTCTCTGTCCCTTTCTCTCTCTCTCTGTCCATTTCTCTCTCTCTCTCTCTCTCTGTCCCTTTCTCTCTCTCTCTCTCTCTCTCTCTCTCTCTCTGTCCCTTTCTCTCTCTCTCTCTCTGTCCCTTTCTCTCTCTCTCTCTCTCTGTCCCTTTCTCTCTCTCTCTCTCTCTCTCTCTCTGTCTCTCTGTCCCTTTCTCTCTCTCTCTCTCTGTCCCTTTCTCTCTCTCTCTCTCTCTCTCTCTCTGTCCCTTTCTCTCTCTCTCTCTCTGTCCCTTTCTCTCTCGCTCTCTCTCTCTCTGTCCCTTTCTCTCTCTCTCTCTGTCCCTTTCTCTCTCTCTCTCTCTCTCTCTCTCTCTCTCTCTCTCTATCTCTCTCGACGGGTGAAAAGCGAAAACCAACAGGCTGTTGATGACCCGTAGACAATACAGGCCAATCCTCACCTCCAAGTGGCGTAGACCGAAAGACTCTGTCCGAGTTCATGCAACAACGAGACTCTGGCTCATCTAGGTGGATGGAATCACTTAGGTCAGTCCCCCCCCCCCCTTTTTTTCCCCCTCAACCTGCGACTGGCCTAGCAAGCTGACAGGGGTTTACTTTCACGGCTCAAGAAACAGAACGAATGTTTAAAAGGATGTGTCAGTAGAAATGAAAAGGGCACTCTTTGACACAATCTTCTTGCCAACTCTGTGCTACCATTGCTATTATAAGAACAGAAAGTTAAAAGAGGGTTGACAGACAAGAGCATATGCAGGAAGTCAACAAAGAACAAGAAAGCAACATGAGAACAGGTGTCGTCAGCCGCCACACGCTGCGGGATTTACGAGGAAGCGATCCGAGCACTTCTGGACTGAATAGTTCGACACGAGGATATTCAATGTACATAATAACACACACACACATACACACACAGAGTTGTGGAAAGATATAAATGTCAAAGTCCTTGATACGGCACATGTTGATGATACTTTAGTTACGGAGGCGTCGCGTTTTCAATCACACAAGTAAAGTTGACAAAAGCTGACCCTGATTGATACGGACATCTGTGGCCAGGTTTTTCAGCAACACGCGACCGTAAATAGAGTTTGAAGTGACAGTTTGCCCGGTGCCGAGATCCCAGCTGAAAGGACGAGGCTTGTCCTGGCAGCCAAACCGGCGCCAGAGCTCATCGTCTCCTACTGGTATTCAGGAGAAACATGCATTTGTAGCATTGTAAGTGAAAAGCTAGAATATCCAGCTTACAGATCTCTCTCTCTCTCTCTCTCTCTCTCTCTCTCTCTCTCTCTCTCTCTCTCTCTCTCTCTCTCTGTCTTTCTCTGTCTTTCTCTGTCTGTCTTTCTCTCTCTTTCTCTCTCCCCCCTCTCTCTCTGTATGTATGCATGTATGTGTATGTATGTATGCATGTGTGTATGTAGGTGTATACATTCATGTGAGTGTAAATGTGTGGTTGTGGGCATATGTTGGTGTCTGTACATGTGATTGTATATGTGTGTATGCATGGATGCATGTATAGGTGTGTATGTATGGAATGTGTGTGTGCATGTATATCCATATATGTATGTGTGTGTGTTTTCTGTTTGTGCATTTGTCTCTGTATGTGTATGTGTTTTATGTTTGTGTATGTATTTAGATGCGTGTGTGTATGTATTACGTATGCCTGTATATGATTGTGCATGTATGAGAACGTAGGAGTATATATACCTGTGTGTGAGTGTGTACGATTGTGTACACATGATGTGTGTATGCATTATTCTATAATTTATATTTCTTTATTGTATCCATAAGATGCATTATCGATAACAGGCATTGGTACTCTGAAAAATGAATACTTAGAAGGGCCGAATGTCAGACGGGCCTGCGTGCCCAATTTGTGACCCTTTGAAAAAAATTTATTCGTTTGTTCGTTCGTTCTCTCTCTCTCTTTCTCTCTCTCTCTCTCTCTCTCTCTCTCTCTCTGCCTCTCTCTCCATTTCTCCATTTCTAGGAATCTCTTTCCTTTCAATGGGCCTCTGTTTCTTTCTTGGATCTCTGTTTTCCTACCACCCTCTGCTCACGATTTCGTCTCCTTCCTTCCATACAACTTTATTTCTCTCCTTCTCTCTTTCTAAGTCTGGCTGTGTTCCTACCAGTGATTGCCCCCCCCCCCCTTTTTACGTTCCGTTTTTATCACTCTCTTCCCGCTATTTCTCTCTCTCTTTCTCTCTTTCTCTCTCTCTCTCTCTCTCTCTCTCTCTCCTTCCATCTACACGTCTCCACCACCCCTGCCTCCCGCTTTATGTCTTTTCTTATCTGTCACACTCTCTTCATCCGCCTATTTCCACCGGTCTTTTTCCAAACCTTTCTTCCATCTCTCTCTCTCTCTCTCTCTCTCTCTCTCTCTCTCTCTCTCTCTCTCTCTCTCTCTCACGCTTGGAATCATGTTGGTAATGACAAAAAATGACTTGAGGTGAGCTAGGCTATGGCAAGAAGGGCATGGAGTGATTTCTAGCAAGAAGGACTTGAAATGAGTTAGGTAATGTAAGGATGGCGTATGTGGCTTAGACGTTGCGAACGAGATTCCCAATGCCGGGTTGCTGGGTTCGATCCTAGCTGCGGTGGTCTATCTTGCGTTGGTTTCGGCAGTGCTACCGAGAGCGGACTGTTCAGAGAGCAATGGCAAACTACTAAACGTAAAATTTCCCTACAAAAACTCAACAGTAAAAAAAAAAAAATACTGGGGTTGGTTCTGCAAAGATGACTTGGCGTAAGTTCAATAAGGGTGATAAGGTTTGAAATGAGTTAGGTAATGCAAGGAGGACTTGGTTTGGTTTAGGAGATGTCTGTATTTCAGCTGGGTATACAAGATACAAGAAGATACACAGTTGAGAAGAATATCTTACCCTCAACTCTTCTGTCCCAAATTCCACACCATTTTCTTCCATTTCGGTCAGTACTCCCATTACTGCGCTGGCCACATTCTGCCGGACAACCTCGCGATACACGGCTTTTTCCTTGTCTGCAAAACCTTTCTCGTGGATCATTCTGGAAAAAAAAAAGATAATTGTCGATCCCTCTGAGGTAATTTTTGTAATTGAGAGACAAATAATTGATAATGCTTGCAATAAATTCAGTGCAAATCAAACAAACAATGGATTGCTCTGTAGTACATTCAGTACACGACAGACAAATGGTAGATCATTTCTTTCATTAAAAGCCAATGGATCATTCAGTAATAAATTCAATACAAGACTGAAAAACAGGATCACTGCTCAAAAACTGTAGCAACTGACAGACAAATAAATTCAGTGCAAGACAGCCAACAAATGGATCATTCAGTAATAAATTCAAAACAAGAATTACAGAGGATCATTCCTCAATAAATGTAGCAATTGATAGACAAATAATGGATTATTGTGCAATAAATTCAGTGCAAGACAGTCAACTAATAGATCTTATATCTGGTTTACATATCAACTAATGGATTTTACATCCCATTTACATATCAACTAATGGATCTTACATCTCCTTTACATATCAACTAATGGATCTTACATCCCCTTTACATATCAACTAATGGATCTTACATCTCCTTTGCATATCAACTAATGGATCTTTCATCTCCTTTACATATCAACTAATGGATCTTACATCTCCTTTACATATCAACTAATGGATTTTACATCTCCTTTACATATCAACTAATGGATTTTACATCTCCTTTACATATCAACTAATGGATCTTTTATCTCCTTTACATACCAACTAATGGATCTTACATCTCCTTTATATATCAACTGATGGATCTTATATCTCGTTTACATATCAACTAATGGATCTTTCATCTCCTTTACATATCAACTAATGGATCTTACATCTCCTTTATATATCAACTAATAGATCTTATATCTCCTTTACATATCAACTAATGGATGTTACACCTCACTTACATATCAACTAATGGATCCTACATCTCCTTTACACATCAACTAATGGATCTTACATCTCCTTTATATATCAACTAATGGATCTTATATCTCCTTTACATATCAACTAATGGATGTTACACCTCATTTACATATCAACTAATGGATCCTACATCTCCTTTACACATCAACTAATGTATCTTACATCTCCTTTACATATCAACTGATGGATCCTACATCTCCTTTACATATCAACTAATGGATCTTACATCTTCTTTACATATCAACTAATGGATCTTACATCTCCTTTGCATATCAACTATTGGATCTTTCATCTCCTTTACATATCAACTAATGGATCTTACATCTCGTTTACATATCAACTAATGGATCTTTCATCTCCTTTACATACCAACTAATGGATCTTACATCTCCTTTACATATCAACTAATGGATCTTTCATCTCCTTTACATATCAACTAATGGATCTTACATCTCCTTTACATACCAACTAATGGATCTTACATCTCCTTTACATACCAACTAATGGATCTTACATCTCCTTTACATACCAACTAATGGATCTTACATCTTCTTTACAGTTATGGTTGTTCGTCCATTTATGGACTTTGGTATTATTCCAGAAACTCAGGAGATGCAAGGTCATTTGTTTAAAAAAAATCTGTCTGTAAAGGTCAGAAGCAGGTTAGTCGTTAGTTAGTCGATACGGCTCCGGCATCACAGCAAACGAGCTTGGCCCATTATTGCTCAACCGTCCATGCCAGTGATTCCAGTCACAAACTGAGTCAGATACGCTGGATACTTCCAGTGAATGCAGTAGCCATACAAAGTGTTCCCAGTCAGCAATACATACACGATTTGATCTGGCAAACCATAAGGTGCATGCCCCCTTAAACACACTACGAGACCAGGCGTCATCGCTGAAAATCAACTTCATTCGATGAAAAGCTGGGCGATGGGTAGATTAAAACTATTCCTGACCATTCTCCACACGTCCTCGGCCAAGTTGCAGACACGGCCAGCAAATAAATAGCAGCTTTGACACATGCCTTGTCCCAGGAACACAACGAAGCAAAATCAGGTAAAAGTGACGCTATATGTAGCAGCAGTACACACTATAACGGCGCAAGCCACAGTCGTAAATCTGTTACTTTAAAATCTCGATTACATCAAACACCATGTCTAATATTTCGTCTCCTATCTATTGAGCTGAGTGTATTGCGCGACACTGTGAGCTGCGAATTTTTTTTTTGGAATAGGTTTTTTTTACTGTTACTAACGTGGTGTTGTAAGCTCTAGATTCAGCAAACGGAGCGCGGCCTGTCACAAACTGGTGGCGCCTTATATGATTAAAATTGACTGCGCGTGCTAATCTCCTTGTGATTGCTGCTTCCCTCCATGATGAACTGCATTTCTAATGTCGGACTGTTTGTGTTTGTATTTCTGGTGAATGCCCTCTGTTTTTAATTTTTGCATATGCTAGTAGTTTTGCTGAGACTGCAGTCTGTTTCAAGCACTCGGAACAGTGATGGACATTCTTTGAGTTTTTTGTTGGCACATGAGCGGAGCAACTATGGGGTGAGCCGTTCGCCATAAAGATGATTCTAAGATTACCAGATTACTATTGTCTTACATAACCAGCATCTTAGGCAGTTAAGCTGCATATTTCCGTAAAATGATGTTGGCCTGTATCATCAAAAGACGAGTAGATAAAGGGATTTAGATTATATCTAGCTATATTTTAAAATCTAAACGATAGAACAGAAATGATGACAAACCGACTAGAAGATAAAAGCAAATACCAGTCTTTAATATACAAGTATACAGTCGAATGGCGCCTCTTTTTTTTTTCTTTTTCCTTTTAAAGTATCGTTTTTATGGACATATTAAAAACAGATTATAAGATAGGAGTCGCGTGTTAAAAATTGAAAACACTTATCGACTAGGTAAAGAAACGATTAGTGTCTGTGTTTTTGACAGAAATATGTGGCAGATCGGACATATGTTGTTCGTCCCATATTAAGCGTGTATGTATGTTTGTTTGTGTGTGCACGTGTATATATAATATATATATATATATATATATATATATATATATATATAATATATATATATATATATATTATATATATATATATATTTATATATATACGAGGGGTAGTCAATAAGTAAGTCTTGATTGGCTGTCTAAAAAACTAAAGATGATAACACCTTGAAAACCGTACATTTTTAACACACACACTGTCCCTAAATTTTTCAACATAGTTTCCACCAACATTGATGCACCTGTCCCATCGTTTTATCTTTACTTACTTACTTTTACTTTTTCCTTCCACGTATGCCGCTAAGCGTTGTGGGGAGATGCAAGTTCCTGTCATAAGCAAGGCGGGCAGCATCTGATGTTCTGAGGCCATGCTTTTGGCAGGTTTCGGAGACCCCGTCAATCCACCGTTTCCTTGGTCTTCCTCTTGCCTTATATCCTGAGCTTCTTTGGTTGAAAATTTGTGATGTTATTTGATCATTTTTCATCCTGGTTAGATGTCCAAACCATTTCATTCTTTGATGTTCTATGTAGTCTAAACATGGTGTAGTTTTGACAGTGTTTCTAATGTCTATATTCTTTATCCTGTCTAGTCTGGTCTTATTCGCTGCTTTTCTTAGACATTTCATTTCACAGGCTTCTATTTTTCTTTCATGGGTCTTGTTGATTGTCCATGTCTGGCACTGGTAGCAGAGTGTTGGAATGAAGATGGTGTTTATCAATTGTCTTTTTGGTCTTCATGGTTATATCTGGATGTTTAAGCAGAGGTTGATAGTTGGTATGTGACAGCATTTGCTTTCTGTATTCTTGTTTCTATCTCTCTGTCCATTCTTCCATCCTCTGTAAATATACTGCCCAAGTATTTGAACTCTTTGGTTTGCTTGATTTTGGCACTTCCAACATTTATATTCAGTGGCCTGTGTGTTCTGCTGATCTTCATAACTCTTGTTTTTTTCTGTACTGATTCTCATATTATGTTGTAAACAGCTTGTTGTTGAGAGTAGTCAGATGTTCCTGTAGATCATATTCCTTTTGATACAGTATGCTTTGATCATCAGCAAAAAGTAATTCGTTTATAGCATACACGTCTGGGTTTGCTTCTACAGTGATCTTATCCATGTATGTTATGAAAAGTAATGGTGACAGTACACATCCTTGTCTGACACCAGTTGTGACTTTGAACCATTCAGAAAGACCACTAGATGTTCTTACTGCACTTTCACTTTTTTCATAGAGGGCTCTGATGTTGTCTAATAATTGACCCTGCACTCCGTAATCGTCAAGAATTCTCCACAGCACATCTCTGTCTACACGGTCGAATGCCTTCTCTTGATCTACAAAGACCACGTTCAGCTCTTTATCGTATTCGAGTGTCTTTTCACAGACTTGTCTTAGTGCAAATATGGCATCAGTGCAACCTCGCCTTTTCCTGAAACCGAATTGTGCTTTACTCAGTAGAGGTTCAACCTTTGCTCTTATCCTACCTTCTAAGGTCTTTGCATACATTTTCCCCACATGACTTAGTAAAGATATTCCTCTATAAGTTCCACATTCTCTCTTGTTTCCTTTTTTCTTCCAGATAGGTACTACAACTGATCTTTGCCAATCCACTGGTACCTTTCTCTCTGCCCATGCTCTATTGAAAATTCTCTCCAGCCAGGTGATCATAGTGTCCCCTCCAGCCTGGATGACTTCTGTTGTTATTCCGTCGATACCAGCTGCTTTGTGTCTTTTACTTGTTTTGATAACTTTCTCTACTTCATCCCGCAGGATATGTGGTTCTAGATGATCTGGAGCCCTTGAATGGAATTCTGCTGTTTCATGTATTCCCGACGGGTTCAACAGTTCTTTAAAATATTCCTCCCATCTTTTTTTAATTTCTTTTTGGCTGAATAATGGTTTTCCATTTTTATCATTTATGACTGATGTTGGATTGAAGCTTTCTTCTCTTAATCGTATCGCTTTCACACTCTTATAAAAGTCGCTTGATGATTCTGTACATAGCTGTGTTAGGTGTTCACCATACTTTTTCCATGATTCCTCTTTGGATTTCTTTATTGTTCTCTTGGTGTCTCTTCGAGTTAGT